CCCCCCCAATTTTGGTCTTGTTTCTTAGATCATGTACAATCTGCTATTGATATGTGTGTGTAAAATGTTTAGAGTAGAATAGTGGGGTCCTGAATAAAGCATGTTCTGTGAATTAAAGATACTTTTCCATTCCCTTTCTAGCTATGATGACTATTACACAGAAGATGACCCAGTTTATGGGAATCTCAATCAAGATATTTTAGGTAAGAAAATGTATCTGTTCAGAGGCTATAATAAATGTATGGTTATAAGCTGACCGACCAACACTCTGTGTTTCTCAAATAGAGAACTTGAGAATCTACGCCTTTTTAGTTGCTGTATTAATACCTACTTGGGATAGAACTACAAGCTGTCATACTGCACATTATTCATAATAAATACGCCTATTTTTAAGAACAGATCTCATACTGAATTTATGGTTAATGGTTGGACTGGATGATCTTCAAGGTCTTTTCCAACCTAGATGATTCTGTGATTCTGTGAATTTGATTTTTTACATCCAAATGGTCCTGTTCAGCCAAATATTTCAAACCCAAGAGCTTTTCTACATGTAAAGCTGCACCAGTTGAAATAACAGCTTGATCCCTACATGTTAAAGCAATCTAAGACACATATTACTCACTGCCCAAAGTCAGTGCTCCCACAGAAGCTGGCAGAAACACATACCAGTTCTCTGCTGTAGCTGTCCACAGAGCATTAGTGACATTGACAAAATACGCTGAAACAGGCCCAGAGGGTGAATGGTGAGCAGACAAAGCTTTTCTCTGTTTTACTGTGCTGAAGTTAATAATCCTTGGCAGAGATATACCACATCATATGGCATCATACAACTGTAGCTAGAGCTAGATATGCTGAGGGTATGTCTCTCAAAGCTCTTCTGGTGTTAAAACAGTATTTAAGTTAACATGAACACAACTTTTTTGCTAGTCTTATTTAGGGTTAAACAAAACTAAAGTATTTGAACTGTGGGGAAAAAAACACAAACCCAACCTTTTCATACAGGGCTTGCGTAAATTTAACTAAGTCAACACTCAAATGCATTGACAGTACAAAAGTCTGAAAACTGTAATCTGTTTTATTGATGGCTAAAATGAGATATGGCATGATAAAATAACCTGCACCAAATTTATAGAAAACTGAAAGTAGAGTCAGGAATGGAATTTAATCACCAGCTGCTGCAACTCACAGCCTCTTTCTCAGCCAAAGAAAAGATTGCCTATGCTGAAAAATACATCGGTATGTGGTTACCCCCTAACTGCAATATGTCCTACTAGCAGTCGAAAATGATGCCCACTTAGTGAATAATGAGAAACTTCCCATCTATATGAACAGAAAATTATTTTCCTTTTCACCATGTGTGTCTGAATTTCTAAGCTATTTGCCCCTCTATAAATAGGAGAGATCTGTATGATTTCAAAACAAAACAAACTTCTACCAAAGTAAACTGGGGGGAGTTTGTTCTGTAACAGAGAGGATCTGTTGATCTGATCTTTTAAGACTCAGTAGCATGTCTTAATAACTAAAACATTTTTCTACTTTGAAAAATTATAGAGGAATGTTGTTACGAGCAGATGAAGTCCCAGCCTCAAAGGCCAGTTAACCAACTACAGGTATTTTTAATTTTACTTCTGGATTTCTGAATTAGGGTAGTGTGGTCTGTCTCATGAATTATTGTGTTTATCCCATGACAATAGATAACAATAATCTTCACACTGCTCATCACAAAAATTACCATGTGTTAGTGTCTCAGTTCATCATGGAATTTAGAGCATAGACTTGACCCTTCATTCAATCTGGGTCATTAATGAGAGAGCAGGATAATTATAGACAGCTCATTTTCATCCATATGGCATGATAAAACTCAGTCACAGGCATGCAGATCAGGCTGAATTAAGCCTGCATCTACTGCCATGATTTATGTAAAGAATTAATTCTATTTATTTTGGACATCAATCAAGTGAAAACACAAGCTGTATCACATGATAATCATGAGTTTGACTGGCTCTCTCCTGCCTAGCACAAAATCTATATGCCTTAACAAATGAAAGAAGACTGTCTATTGATTTCTATTTTGTCGAGATACCTGGCTGCCTAAAAGCATGCAAGCTTCAACTGAAATTTGTCTGTAATTGAAGCATTCCTAACATCAATTTCCTGAGTTGATTTCCAGGTATTTCATAAGGACTGATTTCCAGCATCTCTCTCAGGATATGTCCAGGGGGTAGAAATATTTTTTTAATCTAGACATTTGCCTGCATTGACTTCACAGAAAGAGAATAACCTATGAAAATTAAAATGTCAAAAGTGGTTGACAATTTGTTTTGAAAGACACAAAGAGAAGAAGGGGAAAGACACCAAAGCATACATTTTGCACTAGAAATTAGATCCTATATACAGACAAGAGTCACCCATCTTTGGTTTTCTGCACAAAGCCTGTGAAAAATGTTGTTGCTAACAACTGTAGTGTAATTAAAAAAAAAAAAAAAAGTGGGAAGAAAACCAGATCAAACAATGTCTTGCATCCCAAAGAACTTCTACTGATTATATAAGCTACCCTCGTTGGGCACACACTTTGCTGGGTAAAAAAACTGTCTGGATGGCCGGGCCCAAAGAGTTGTGGTGAACAGAGTTAAATCCGGTTGGCAGCCAGTCACGAGTGGTGTCCCCCAGGGCTCGGTGTTGGGGCCACTCCTGTTTAACATCTTTATTGATGATCTGGACGAGGGGATCGAGTGCACCCTCAGTCAGTTTGCAGATGACACCCAGTTGGGTGGGAGTGTTGATCTGCTCGAGGGCAGGGAGGCTCTGCAGAGAGACCTGGACAGGCTGGAGCCATGGGCTGAGCCCAACTGGGGGAGTTTCCATAAGGCCAAGTGCCGGGGGCTGCCCTTGGGCCACAACAACCCCCAGCAGCGCTACAGGCTTGGGGAGGAGTGGCTGGAGAGCTGCCAGTCACAGAGGGACCTGGGGTGTTGATTGACAGCCGGCTGAACAGGAGCCAGCATTGTTTCCCAGGGGGCCAAGAAGGCCAATGGCATCCTGGCTTGTGTCAGCAATAGCGTGGCCAGCAGGGGCAGGGAAGGGATCTGACCCCTGGACTCGGCACTGCTGAGGCCGCCCCTCGATTCCTGTGTTCAGTTTTGGGCCCCTCACTACAGAAAGGACATTGAATGACTCGAGCGTGTCCAGAGAAGGGCAATGGAGCTGGTGCAGGGTCTGGAGCACAGGTCGTACGGGGAGCGGCTGAGGGAACTGGGGGTGTTTAGTCTGGAGAAGAGGAGGCTGAGGGGAGACCTCATCGCCCTCTACAGCTCCCTGAAAGGAGGGTGCAGAGAGCTGGGGATGAGTCTCTTTAATCAAGTAACAGGCGATAGGACAAGAGGGAATGGCCTCAAGTTGCACCAGGGAAGGTTTAGACTGGATATCAGGAAGCATTTGTTTCCAGAAGGGGTTGTTGGGCGTTGGAATGGGCTGCCCAGGGAGGTGGTGGAATCTCCATTCCTGGAGGGGTTTAAGAATCGGGTCAACATAGCGCTGAGGAATATGGTGGGGTTGGGAACTGTCGGTGTTGGACTGGATGATCTTCAAGGTCTTTTCCAACCAAGATGATTCTGTGATGCTGTGATTCATTCCCTCAGAGATTCTTTCCAATAATACCTTGATGAATTTTTCCTTACTCCCACTACCCTAAGAACATGAGTCATTTACCATTATTTACATTGATCTGTTTTCTGTGCTGCCACATTAATAATTTGTACTTTTTACTTTTTCATTTACAGCTAGTTTGGGTAAACTTCAGTCACTATTATGATTACAGTGTAGACATAGTCAAAGTACTCTTAGATATAATTTTAAAGCAAACATAACTATTGAATATTAAAGTGAATTTCCTTCTAGGTGGAGTCTGCCAGTCAGATGTGTTATGCCTCACTTGATCACAGCGTCAAGGGAAAACGCAGAAAACCAAGGAGAAACAAAAACCCTTCATTACAGGAGGATCGAGAAGAAAGATCATCTACCACTGCCACAATGGCTTCCAAAGTCAGCATTTACCTCAACAGTGAGCAGCTGGCTGCTGAAAACACAGAACATGTAGAAGCCATTCATGATGATCCCATCAGATTAATGGGTTTGATGCATACTACAGGAGGAGAGAACATCTGAAGTGGCTTCACAAACCAAATATGTAATTATAAAGTATGATCTGCTTGTTCATTCTGGAGGAACAATGAATGATTATAGCTAATATCCTGGCAAACTGACATACCAAACAATGGTATAAAATGGGTAAGCAAATTGTTCCGAAGCGTCTTCCAACCATATTTATGGAGTAAGCAAGAAATAAGTAGAGATCCAGACTGCCACTTTGAAGGACCTGTCCTTCTGAAGATATTCTGAAAGGAAGTTGTAGAAGCTGGTATCTTGGCATTCACATGGTATTGATTCCAGTCAAAACAAATCCTTTTTTAAAAACAACCATCAACTTTCCAACAGTTCCAAAAGACTCACTCTGGTGTCTGTAGAGCTGTAGTAGAGTATTCTGTATAGGTCTTCTAGTCTATGTAAGTTTTAACATTACTTTTGGAAGGAATTCGTGTTTCATACTTGCACACAAAATGACTTAGTAGCTTTCCCAATTAAAAACTTATCTGCTGTTCAACATTGTGTACTTTCCCACTGTGACTGGTCTATGGTAATAACACAGTGTATCTAAAGCTAATTGGAGAATAATTTAACAGCTTGTTTAAAGTATAATTGTACATCTCGTAAGATTTAACAATATCCTTATATATCTTTAGTATCCTTCTGTGAGCAATGCCAGAACATATCTCAAATCTCGACTCTACTAACATAATGTTGTAACCAGCTGTATTCAGGAGCCCACAAAGATATTAGCAAATGATCTGTAACAATAAATCTCCTAGGGAGGATTTTTTCCAATATTCTACGTGATGCATAAATTCTGATAGGGTTTTACATGGCCATTGTTACTAACTATTTTACAAAGTAGAAAAAGCTTTATTTCCCCTAATAATTCGTATACTGTGTGCACATTCATCTTAAAACTTAAAATTCATCAGATGGTAAGCTTTTATAGACTGGGGATTTATTTTTCTGTTCTTGGATTTATTAAGTACTAGTAGGAAACAGTAAGGCATATTGATGTAATATGCCTACCTCTAGATGTCGGACAGTTCTGCCTTCTCAAAAGAGGATATTAGTGCCTTTAAAATCCATGCAGAGCACAAGTGTCAAGGATCTAGAAACTCTCAAGTACATATAGATCCCTACAAAGGTTTCAGGTCCTGAAGGAGATAGCCCTGAAAGCAGTTACAAGAAAGAAACCAAACAAAAAGCCTACAGCACAAAGAGCCAACTCCTTTTCTAAAAGCAGAAGTGGATGGACACGTCCAGATTTACAAAATAAAAAAAGATCTGTGTAAAAGAAACGGTTCTTTGACAGCGTGGTTCGTGCTTAGTTTAGTTCATAGTTAATGAGCCTCTTTAACGTGCTTTAACTTCTATGCTAGACCAAAAGGCAGGGGCCAACCCCTGCAGCCAAAGCTGCCCAGTGCCACTACCTGTCTTGTGCTGGCACTTGCTTTTGTTTGCAGAAATCAAGTCAATATATGTTTGGCTGTTACACCCCAGAAATAAGGCAGACTTGGAATTGAAGTGACCGTGTTATCGTGGTCTTAGACCAACTACCCCTGGATAAGCAAAAATATATACTGTTGAAGAATTTATAAAAAACACTTTAATGAAGAACCATATTAAATGATGAGCCTAAGATCCTAAGGGGGGAATAGAGGAAGGCATCCAAAGCCAAAGATCCAAAGCTAAACACCAATATATCAGCGCATGAATTACTAACTTAATTTGATTAGATTGGAAGGAATTATACTTTGTTCCATAGTAGGAATAAAATAAGTAATAAAATACATATCAACGCACTCTTGCTTAGACTCATGTATTGAAATTGTTTGAATATCATTAATATGTAAAATATTTATATAAAATATTTCAATTTAGCTGGCATCAATCCAATGCAATACTCAGCTCTCTGAGATGATTAAAAGAGAAAGCTTTCTTAAACATTCTCTCAAGCAAACATGCACAGGCCCAAGAGTCCATTTGTCCCTATTTTCCAACATACACATGCAACAAGGGATGCTGTATTTTCGTTCAATACAATTTGTGTACACTTTGTACCAAAGTTGCTATTTCCCAATTTTCTCAAAGCATTTGCATTCTTCGTTATGCCTTTCCTCTAAAAATTCCAAAGTCAAAGAAATTCTATGAGTTACCTAAATTCAACCTGTCATTTCAGCCTAATCATTAATTTAATGGAAATAAAGTACACAATTCTCACATTGAGTGTACACGTAACAGTAAGTCCACTTCATGGGATTTAGGTACCTCTAGTTTCTTCTGTATTCTTGGTCTTCATTGTTTAGTCCAGCTATTTATTTATGCCAATTTTCAGCAGCTGCTTTCCTTTCCAACACGGCTTGCTAAAAGTGCAGGGCACTTCTGTAAATATTCTCCTCCAATATATACTTCCTTTTCACATTTAATCAGTCTCCATTAAATTATTCACTGCTGCTCTCAGACTACACTTCGGGATCATCTTTAATGGCCTATCAACTGTTTCCAAGGCACAGTCCAGATTTAGCTTTATTCCTCCAGCTCTTTACCCTCTGTCTGCTTAAATAAGCAACTGAATGACCTATTTTTTAATGACTAATTTTAGAATAGTTTTTAAATTACTACTGAATTTACATGAAAGAGTATATTCAATATTGCTCCATCTTCAAGCCATTAGAGAAAGACATACATAAACTATATTAGTTAAGTTCTTTATGTATAAAGTTTCAGCTAATTACAACAAAATAAGGAGGTGCTAGGTCTAGGTTTATACTGTTTCAGTAACCTAGCCTGTTTTTATAGTGTTCTTTACAGAAATTTTGAAGCAGAGGGAAGCAGTGTGAAGCTGTTTTTATTAACAGTAACCTTAGCATTCAAGTATCAGTTCAATGGAATGGTGAAGAAAGAGTAAACAAGAGGAAATATGGTGGTAGAAAAGCTGTTTCGAAGGGAGGAACAACTGAGCTCAAAACAGAAGAGAGATCACGTAGCACCATGAAACCTTTGTCAGTCTAGCACAGGCATACTCCAGTAGCCACTATAGCATCTGACAATCACTGCGGATGCATATGTTTAAACAGTATTGTTTGGAAAAACAACACAGGCTTCTGTTTATATCATACTTTTAAGAGTCTGCTGACTCAAGTGGAGGATCAAACTATAAATAATTGGGTAACTTTCTCCCATTTTTTGCTACTGCTAGCACCAAAGAAGTAGTACGGGGATGAGCTTATCTTCCAATACCTCATGTTTTTTCAAGAATACCTCTTAAAATTCTTTTGAAGTAATTTTCATAGAGAAAATGAACTATTGTTATGTTGTTTAAATAAACTTACCCTCCTACCTGGGTAAACCTGCATTCAGGTTGCTGTGTAGAAGTCTCATCTAGAGTCAGAACATGTCCAAAACCCAACTCCAGTTTACCTTTAAGATACTTTAGAACAGAAAACTTTAATGGAATTATGTGATCTCTCAGTACTGCTGTATCAAGAAATACTGGGAAATGATTACCTCAACAAATCCAAGGGGGAAGGCAGTTCATAAAGCATATTTCTCACAGTTCATCTATGCCTGGAACAGGATGAAAAATGAGCCAGAAAAACATTTTCAAAAGACAATCTTTTGTTGCTGTTGTTGAAGGAAACATAATATACAAATGATAAGGGATAGAACATGTGTGTGTGTATATTGCAGAAGTTCTTGTTGCAGCGTAAACCTAATTGAAGCTGGCTTCTTTTTCCATTCAAGAACAACATTTAAGATAAGATGATCTTGGTTTTAAGAACTTAAATTACATAAAACACACCTGTATGCCCAGGAATGAAGTAAGGACAAAGGAAAATGATTGTTTCCTTTTCTGGAGCCCAGAAAGCTGACAAAGGGCAATGCCAATAAAGTGAAGTGTACTTGACCTGACATGACTAAAACAATCTCCTTGCCAAGAAAGAACACAGCAGTGAAAACCTGTGGGATCCTGCCACATCATTCTCATGTATTTGTTGTAGGTATATGTTGTGGTTTAAGTCCAGAGGGCAACTGAGCACCAAGCAGTTGTGTACTCACCCCTTCCCCCTCAGAGATTAGAAGAAAATAAAACAAAAGGCTGGGGAATCAAGAAAAGGACAGGGAGGGATAACTCACCTATTAAGGTCACAGGCCAGACTACCAGGGAAGAAAAAGAACATCAGTTTAATTTGAACACCACCTCTATCACCTAATTCTTCAGTCAGAGGACAGTAAGAAATACAACTGCATCTTAAAAGCATCTTCCCCCCACTCCTCCCTTCTTCCCAGGCTCAACTTTGCTCCCAATTTCTTTCACTCATTACTTCCAACAGCGATGGGGGATGGGGAATAGGGGTTGTAGTCAGTTCATCAGCTGTTGTTTCTGCCACTTCTTCCTCAGCAGGATTCCTCACACTCCTCCACTGCTTCAGTGTGGGGTCCCTCCCATGAGAGAGAGTCTTCCACAAACTTTCTCAGACAGGAGTCCTTCCTACAGGCTGCAGCTCTTCACAAACTGCTCCAGTCTGGGTCACCCCCACACGTTGCAGTCCTCCCAGCACTGAACTGCTGCAGCAGGATCTTCTTGCCTGAGTCCCGACCTTCTTCGGGTGCAGCCACCTGCTCTGGGGTGGGGAGCTCCACAGGCTGCAGGTGGCATCGGCTCCACTGGTGACCTCAGTGGGCTGCAGGGGCAGAACCAGCCCTCTCACCATGGGCTGCAGGGGGGTCTCTGCTCTGGTTTACCACCCCCCACCCCCCTTTCTTCCACTGACCTCAGTGTTTGCATAGGTGTCCTCCTGCTCATAACCTGGGAGGAGGAGGAGTTCCCTTTATAAAATATATTATTGCAGAGGTGCAGCTGATTGGCCCAGCCTTGGTGCAAAGGAGGGTTCAACTTGGAGCCAGGAGAGCTTTGAGAAGCTGTAGCTCCCTTCCCTGCTACCAAACCCCCCTGCCACTCACTCAAACCCAACGGAGTACACAAAAACTGCTCCTGAGAACTCATATACCCAAAATAAAATGTTGAAAACAGGTTTTGTTCAGAACAGGTTTTTATTGAAAATATATATATATATATATTGAGGTAGTATTTTTGTCAAAACACAATAGAACTATCAAACCTATTATAACTTATAACATTTTGTTGAACAATCACTTTTGGTGAACAACTTCAAAAATTTAACATTACAATTGCATAGCAAGGGTATTATAAGTCATAGCATACAACACCACATTTGTATCATCCAGCCTAATTTAGTACTGCACTCATCTAGTACTGAGATCTATGAAGCATGAAAGAGTTTGTTACTTATCTTGTTACTAACAATCAAAGCTTATTAGCAGAGAGCACATTCTGTTATTATAAACACTACTAAATAGCTGATTTAAGCTCAGCCATAGAAAGAAGTCTGATTCACTACAATACACCTCATGAAAGCAGAGGAGTAAGAACCAGTTCCTGAAGATTTACATTACAGGGAAGTATAAGTCAGGACTAATCAGTCCTTGATTTTTGGAAAGAAAAACCAAAACAAACTCAAACTTTATAAAACAACATTTTCTCTGCAACAGTCCATGAATGTTCATAGGTGAGTTTTGGCCAGGAAGTCATCCTTGCTCTGATTTTAGTCCTTCCCATCAGTATAGCATAGTTTTCTGCATGTCCTATAGAAAATAGATTGTTTAGATAAAATAAATTACATAAAAGTACTATGCTTGCTGAAACTTCAGTGAACAGAATGAAGATGAAACAAACCACCAGACCAAAATATCTGAATGTCTTGACTGCGAGCAGCAGTGGGACTCCTTGTCTGCATTCCTCTGTGCTTTCAGCTGGGGAGGAAACTTTTCATCCTATGTCATTTCAATGTCTCATTAATGCTACTACACTAATAGCTATTTATGTAATTTAGGTTAAACTTCAGGATGTAATCTTTGACTATAGTCACAGATAACTAAAAATGAATGATACAAGTGAGAATACAATTATTTCCTTGTATATTGCTTAAGAAACGGCATAACTTTTTAAACATCTATTTTAAACTATTTTGGTTTACATCTGACAATTAAGTATAGCCGTATACCTGTAGGACAGCATTCACACTGAGGCGAAGTTTATTAGTTATGAACATTTCCTTTTCTGAAATATCTTTCATAATCATCTTCTAGATAAAGGCAATCAAGTTCCAGACAGGCAGACAATATTCCTTTTCTTTCCATAACCATACATTACAAGAGCATTTTGCCACATGGCTTAAGCATAAAACTTCTGAAGGGCTCTGAAGCCATTAAAGAAGAGCTTCACTCTTCTATGGGAACCATAGAAGCCTAAGAAAGCTTGCCAGCTTACAGTCCCTCTTGGCTACAAATCAGCAAACATGTATTTGTGTAATTAAGGAACAAAGAAATAGATTTTATTCCATATGACTTGGCAAGAAAGTACTCCAGGAAAGCCTGATTTCCAGCTCTCTCAGACTTCTCTAGTTACAATGTATTAAAGGAAAGGAAAACCTTTTCCTTCAGAACAATTCCTAATCTCATATGGAGGGCTATTTTGTATGGAGTCAGGATTTTTCTGACTGAAGTGAGAAAAAAGAGGGAATCCAAGAACTGAACAAAAATTTACTCAGCTAAGTGGGCATACTCAACATCACAGAAACATCCTTGTATACTCATCAGTTTGCCCCCAATCTTCCGTTACATCAAAAATAATCCAAATACAATCTTTATCAGTATTGTTATTTACTTGTAATACAAGCCTCTAAGTTTTAATTCTATCTTTGCTTAAATGGAAACTTTTTTCTTTAAATCATGCAGCCTCTTTTCCGGTTAAGATCTCCATACAAGTAGTTTTAAAATGCATTCAGGCTTCCTTTGAAGTTTTAATTTGAACACTGTTGGAAAATGTTGATATCAGCTGTATGATCATTTCAAGCATAGTGAAGATATTTCTTGACTGAGTTTGGGAAGGCGGCTTACCTTGTGGTGCCAAATTAGACTTTTTGGCAAAGAGGCATGTAAAAAAAATTTTGGAAATAAAATGAGAAACTGTTTTGAGAACTTTTAATCCTTTTTAATCCTTCTGCCTATTAGTTTGTAATTAAAAATCCAAGAGATTTGAAACTTGAGAATCCTTTAAAAGTCACATATTTTCTAAGAAAAGCAGATGTAGTAGGCCAGTATCCAGGGTGCTGGAAGGAGCATTCTCCTTCCGGACATCTAAATACACTGCCAATAGTGGTTAACAGCAGGAGGAGAGGATCTCATCTTCCAGAGTTACTGCTTGTTTTCACGGAGTAAAAATGCCTATAACTATGCCCAAGTGCAGAGAAGCTAACTTCTGGAAGTCCTTTTAAATGGCACCATACTGCACTCTCCACAGCCAAAGGATGAGAGGCCTTGTCAGCTCTAACACACAGCCAGAATCAAACCAATTCTATAGTTTTATTTAAAGTCATGCCTCTATAATGAGCATAAAATAAGGATTAGAGTAGCTATTAATTTAGGCTATCTTACTAACTTGTGTTCACTAGACATCCATGCTGGAGCCTGTCTAGTTTTGTTTACAGGCACTTGCCTCCCAGTGTTCAATTCTGGAGGTTTGATTAGCTTGGGCTCTCCCAGGCATCTATGCTGATTTTCATTCCAGAACTATGCATGTAAGCAACAACCTCCATACACTTAATACAGATATAAAGCAGCAAGAATCTCTCCCGAATTTTCTTCTCTCAAAAGAAACTTACCTTTGGCGACACGTTTGTGCACTTCCAGGACAGCTGTCACTCTTCATTGCCCTTGGCCAGCTAGAGTGGGCATCTGTGATCCCAGATTCTAGTGATGAGAAACAGGAGTATGAAAAGGGTAAGAACAATGCTGAGTAGCATGGACACTACAGTATGTTGTTAAAATACTACCCTATTAAGACATTGTTAATACTTGATTGGCATACTTCAATGAGAAAATTTCCTTATGAAAATATTATAATGCAAAAGGTTGTGGCAAAACTTAATTTCAAATACATTTTATACACAGAATATATGTAAGTATAAGACAGGTTTCTTCAAAATGTTTATAATTTATCACCATTAGAACAAGGTAGAAATAGAAGACATTGTTGATACAAGAAAAAAACAGAATAAAGTACGAGTTAAAATTTCAGGAAGGCAAAATAAGACAGATGGGTAAGTCCACCTCAAATGATCAAATTCTCTACAATCAATCAGTAATGAAAATACAAGGCAAGAACCATGCAAACAAGCGCATTTCTTCTGCCATTTTCTTGTATACAAGTTGCTATCACCTTCTTCTCTTCAGTATTTTCCTTAACATGTTAGTTAGTTGTTATCTTGATGAAAAGCTTCATTAAAACAAAATGTGGAAAATAAACATTGGTGATTTTACTTAGCAGGAAAAAAGCATAGGTTATGTTATATACATGCTTTATCTGAAATCATTTAAATGGAAATTAAAATTTTAGTGTCTAAAAATCTTAAACTAATGTAGTTTTAGGGTTGTTTTTCTTTAACAATAAAATTCTACTGTCCTGAATTGTCAAAAGTCTTTTTATCCAGATTAATAATCTAATTTACCTAAGCAAGTGAGGCTGTTTCTTCAGTATGAGGGTGGTGAGACAGTGGCAGAGGTTTCCCAGAGCAGCTGTGGCTGCCCCCTCCCTGGCAGTGTTCCAGGCCAGGCTGGACGGGGATTTGAGCAACCTGGGCTAGTGGAAGGTGTCCCTGCCCATGGCAGGGGGGTGGGACTGGATGGTCTTTAAGGTCCCTTCCAACCCAAACCATCCTGTGATTTTAAGTGACAGTAGCCATGTAACAGCTTAATTGCAACATTTTATAAGGCTGAAGAATCCAAACCAAAGCATCTGGTTATTCAAGTGTAGGAATTATAAACTGCATTTTCTGCTGAACATTTAGATACAAAAAGTAAAAGCAACAGCAAACTTAAAATTTAAAAAAGGAAGAGAGAAAACCAGCAGATAATAAGCAACACTTCAGCTGGAAAAGTCCTAAAGGACTTAAAGAAAAGCTTCTTAAATAATTGTTAACATGAGATTGAGGAAAGCATTTTCCACATAGATTCCTTAAAGGCACATTTAAACATACCCAATTATTATGATGAAAAAGAGCCGTCACCTAGACAGTGGTCTATTGAGATCTGACAATCTACTCTTTGAAGCAGTGCTTGCAATTGCTAAAGCAGCAATTCATAAAGTCTCTAAAACTAACCTCGTAGGGAAGTACCAGGAATTCCGAGAGAAGTTTTATCTGAAGGAGGATGAAATCCAGCATCCTGAAAATAAATTAAACAGATTACGATAATGGAAAAACTCACGTATTATTTCACAGCTTGCCTCAGAGGAAATGACTGGGAACATGGAAATAAGGGACTGATTTAATATTTAAATCAACAAGTCTAATAATTCCAATGGAACCCAGAAAAGCTTAATTTGTCTTGCTTTGTCCATCTATACAATGAATAAAATGCTGTAATTTCAGAACGACACCTTAATTGACAGGGTCACTGAGATTATTTTAACCAGTGACACAGTCCATTAAAATGTAACAAAATCTTTTATGAAGCATTTTATAACCATCAACGTTATTAAATACAGTGAGCTTCCTCATATGATACAGCAGACCTCATACAATTTATATTTTACCAAATAAAAATTCCCCAAACCTGTAAGACAACCCTACTGACCAAATAGCACCAGAATTATGCTGTCACTAGTATAAACAGCTTCCAGCTCCAATTAATTTTTTAAGCCCTTCTACAAATATCACCAAAGATTACACAATATTTTTTTTTACAAGGTCCTTAAGTACCTGACTTTGAATGTTGTGACTGTCAAAAAAGCCAGGGCTACTGTCATTGTATATGCTCAAAAAATCCATGTCAACCATCTGAAGATTAAAGTTTTTTCTTTGAGAAATCTGCTGACATTTTGTTGAAGGAAAATAACGCTCTGGTATATTTCTCAGTCTCTTTACTGGTGAACAAAGAAGATCATTTTGATTATTTCTTTGTCTTTTAACTCTGGGAAATGCAGATAAACTTTGAACAGGTGAGCTAACAAGAGCATTTACAGTTTCAGACATCTGTATTCCTTTGTGTTTCTTTAAAGATCTAAACCCAGGAAGTTCTGGAACAGCCTCACTACACAATTGCTCATAGATCCTGTCAAATTCTCTATCACACTGTGTACTGGACCTCACATAATCAATTAAATTACTCTTCACCAGTCTTCCTTTCTCTTCAAGGTTCTGTGAATTTGAAAGAAGTCTTGTCAATATCAAAGGCTTTTGGATTTCTTCAGAACACAGTTTGTAGTAGAGTTTTTCAAATGCATCTTTGTCTTTTGGGGGCATCTTTGAAGGACTCTGCTTCATAGACAATGAGGAAAATGAGTGTTTGTGCTGAAAAGAAATTCCTCTTTCAGAAATGTTTTTTTGGGGATTTATGGGCAAAGTGTTTGATGCTCTTGCAAGAGAAGAGCTTGCGACAGGTGTGAGAGTGTTACTATTGCCATAGGAACTGCAAGTAGATGAATACAACTCTGAGGTATCACCATGAGGAAAGTAAAATTTTTGAGTTTTACTCTCTTTTACCAGATGAAGAGCTGTTGACCCTGAACTGCCAGTAGATATTATAGAACAGGATTCTGGGAAAAATTTGTAAGACAATTTTTCACTTTCTTTGCACTTTGAATTCTTCAGTGAGACAGTACTCTGTAGTTCATCTTCATCTAGAAGTTTCTTTCCCATTCCAGCCATGACATCAGAAAAACCAGTCTGTTTGGAGACTTTCTGGCCTTTTCCAGATACCAAATAACATTCTAAACTCGAGTCATCGTTGTCCATATCGTCTTCACTTGTATCAACGTAAGAATAAGGTACCAGACCAGAGAAATTATTAATGGAACACTCGTCATCAGAAAGTTCTCTGTTCTCATTTTCAGAAGTTTGATTCTGGATGTTTTCACTTCTGCTGCATATGCTAGATAGTGATTGCTTCAGTTTAATAGGTCTGAACCCTCTGATTTTGTGTACAGTGACACAGAGCTCTGGTCTTCTAGAATACCACTTTTTGTGCCTTAAGTGTCCAAGCATGCATTTTGAGTGTCTTCTCTGAGAGTGTTTGGTCATACGCTTTGTAAATATCCCTACCATTTGTGGATACAAGTCTGCAAGAGTTATATTGCTCCAAGAGCATTCCTCATGTGCAGGCTGGTATTCTTCCAAGGTACTATCATAGCAATTTTTATTCTGTTCTGGAGAAGGTCGATGCTGGGGTACGATTATAGTATCTGGTGAAATAGGAATATCAGAAAGTTGTAACTGTAGATGTCTAGATGAACATTCACTTGACAACTCTTTCTTTCTGCAAACATTGGCTTGGTTGCCTATTCAAGAAAACGAATCACAGAACAAACCAGTTAGTGCACTTCCCGTAATGTGTTACATGACTTAGAAATAATTGCATATAGTACAGATAGTCTTACTGTAATAGCATATTTCATTAAGCATTTTGCCAAGCTAAATGGATGATTAACATACAATCCATTAGGAAAAAATGAAAGGGTTTTTCCTAACCATATTGAATCAACAGACTTTAGAAGACAGAAGTCAAATGTGTTGGAAAAACCCCTATTTTAATATAGCTTAGTATATAAATATAAAATATTTTCATAGTAGAGGCAGACTGCTTTGCTCTCTGATTTCTGACCAGGAGGAACAGACTTATCCTACAGGTTTTGTTACTCTATTTTCATATTACTTGAAAGCTACTTGGTTAGTACTAGTGCACCTTTGCTTGCTGTAAAGCACGATGAAGATAATTATTTTTGTAGTTGTTAGGCTTGAAATATTTACAGCAAAATTCTATCTCAAGTTTGCAACATGTCTAGAGAGCTTCTGAAGAAAGCAACCTTACTAGCAAAAGACCACTTTGAGTACCCATTACCAGCAGAACTGAAGTAACTCCTTACATTCCTTGAATTTAATAAGCAGAACAAAAGAGATATGCTTTCATTTAATTTAGCTTAATGCTGCTGAATTTCTTAACTATGCATTTTTTTTTCCTGGGGCTATTTAAGAAAAGCTGGTTTTATGTATACAAGTTATTTATTTTCTATTCTTCAAATACATTTTGCCATAAGCAAAATGTCTAACTTCTCTTCAAGAATCCAGCCTGTTGAACTTTTCTGTTGGATAAATAGTGCCTCTCTTTTCAATACGTTAAATATTTATTTCTAATAAACTTTAATAAAAACACATTTTGTAACGAACATATTTGACCAATACCCAAAAGATTTAGTTATACCAATTAGTTCTTGCGCTGGTGAAGCTAAAGGAAGACCTTTTGACAAACCTCGAGGTGCTACCTGAAAAAGAAAGAAAAAAGGACACAGTCCAATATTCTGAATTTTTTGCATGTTAAAGGTAGTATCAAAACCTTATTTGTGACTCTTCCTACTCTCTCCTTACTATACTAGGTCCTGTACAGAGTTATGGTCCTAAGGGGCTTACTAAATTTCAGATAGGGAGGAAGAAGTCTGGTCTAAGACTTCAGTAAGAATTTCTAAGAGTTACTAATTTAATCTTGGAATGCCATTTATCATCTTTGCAAATTCTACGTCATATACCATATTTTAATGACTTTCCCAAATATCAGAATTTATACACGCATATATATATATATATATATATATAAATAACAGGATAATCTATACATCTCTGGCAACTCCTGTAGAAAACAGAAACCATAACATGTAACATAACACTTTGTCCTCAGCCACCCTCACTCCTGAAATCAAAATAAAACTCCTTTTTTCTCTACAAGTCTCAAATTAAAGCTTTCCAGAAACTTACTGAAGTGAAAATCAACTCACACATCAGGGTCCAAAGAACAAAATATAAAAAGAAAACGAAAATAAATATTTGGATATTGTCTGCTCTATTTCTTGCAAACCATTGCTGTCAGAGACCTAAGACACTGTGATGTTTTACATGGAGAGAAAGCAGGAGAGGAACAATGATGGAACAGCATAGAAGTTATACTAGAGTTCATTGTGCTGCACCATTAGAGAGGTCTTATTTTATTCTAATTAGCTAATAACTTAGAACAGAAAAGGAGAAATATGTTACCGTAATCCACTCGGGAATTTTTCTAGTATCATCTTGTACTATCACATCCACTTTAAGTTTTCTTTTATTTTGAATTTTCTCATTATCTACATATAGATTCTTAGAGGGGAGGAAAAAAAAGTAGTTAAAACACAGTTCATTGACACTGACCAACCCAAACATATTACTTAGATTTGTTTCAAGCTAGTGTTATTGAGATATGGATATCCAACCAGCATAAAGTTAATGTACACATTTTGCATTAAAAAAAACCGAGAAGGAACTGAAGACATTATAAAAAGAGATAACTAGCTAGTTTATTGATGCAGGAAAAAGCACACACTGTCTCAGAAGATCCACTGATAAAAACAAAAACTATCCAAATGAAAAGTCCTAGTTCTTAGGTTACAAAGTACTGGTAATTAATTACAGCTGTAAATCTTTACATGTATTATGAACATTCCATGAATTCATATACACATTAAGGTCTACTCTAACACACCTCTACGTAAAATCTAAAAGCATTTTAAGTTTTTCATCAGTGAAACTCTTGCTTTCTGAAGTAGTTTATATTAGCTGTTGTTGGAGACATGACAATACCTAGCAGTATGCTAAAAAAAAAAAACCAAAACCGGAAAGTAAATCAATTTTTGGTAATTGTATTTCAGCAAGCAGAACACAGGATTAGAGTGGCTGCACACACAAAGTATGTGTTGTACTTTTCTTCTGTAACTACTCTGGGTAGTCCTGATACCCATAGTCTAGTTTGGGAAACAACTGTAGAAGACTCCAGTCTGATTTTGTTATGGTAGCCATTATTTCAGATTTACTTTTTAAAATAAAATCATATTACCTGTTTATGCTAGACTCTCAGGTGAATGATCATGTTTTTATAAGTGTTTTCACTTTAATTCTTCTGGTTATTCTTTTTCCATACCTGTAACTGCCCTTCTGAGGGTTGCTTGTTCTATGCAATATATTGTATGGCTTTCTCTGGTATACTAATAATATGAAGACATATTACTTCATATTGGTCTTCATGACATTACTTATTGAACCTCATTTGCTATACTTACTAAAAAATGTGCATTAAGATGCAGACTACAGTCTTCTGCGGACTGAATCAACTCAGGCACATGTAATTATTTCTATTGAACACAAAATTATTCCATTAGACACCCAAAATTTTTACCTGGAAGTGAACGTCTTCAAATTTTCTTCTTAAAGAAACTATATCATCATCGCTTCCTTCATCTACAATTTGAAGATAAATACTAAGTAAAATCTAGTGGAACTCAAAACTAAATGGAAATGTTTTTAAAACACACACTGTATAACTTAGTGACTGAACTGGTTTCATTTTAGAAAATGGTTTTCTCCACCAAAACTTTTTATTTGTATTCAAGTCAAACTGAAAAGCATGGTTTATAGGTTCATAAATGGACTTGAGGGCAACAAAAAAAGAGTGAGGATAACTTGTTTGTAACCAGTTCAAGATTTATGCTTAACCATTTCAGAAAGTAGAATATTTTCAAAGCACTGCTCTGCAAGATTCACTGTACATTAATGAATCATTCCCACTACAGTCCTAAATATCCCAACAAAGGTAGTAAAGACCTTCTATCACACTTCCTTTACTTAGTTTGTTATTGTCAAGACTGCCTAGGAACTGCCAAGGTGAAAAATAAGACAGACGAGAATATTAAAAAGCAAGTCCAAACCTTCCAACTCAACTTTTAGGTATTCTATGGGTATTGTTGTGAATGAAACACAAGAAACTTTTTTTTTTTTTTTTTGGCTAGATGTAGCCAGACCTTTCAATTCATCATTAACTAAAGACTCAGTCTTTCACAATTATAAAACGTGACTGCATTCTAAGCCCTAATTTTTGAGTTTCCCTGGCTGTTATATCTTTGTCCCATGACTGTGTTCACTGCACAGTGGGAGAGGAGGAGAATAACCCTGAAAAAGCAAACAATGAGTGAGAAAAATCTTGGTTATGACACCTACCACATCAATGCCTCTTCATACTATTCTTAAATTACTAAAACCAGAATGAAAATCTTTTCCAGCTAATCCCATCTTCCTTTTTTGTTCCCCCATCAGTGCAATCATCACCTAAAGATCTGTGGACAGCTGCTGCTGTAGAGCTAGGATAAAGATGCATATGAAAGAAATGCTATCTTCGTGGGGGACAATTTCGTATCTTCTAGTGAAAATGTTATGCAATCAGAGGTTTGGCTTTGACAGTATACCTGACCCCAGTAGAATTAGTTTATTAGAACTGAAACCCGTACCTCTCAGATTATCAAAGTTTCTTCCCACATGATGAACAGAAGACAAAGTTGTAGTCACTCTAGCCACAGAAAATCAGTTACTACGCATCAGTAGCAGAGGAAGCAATGAGAATGTTAATTTTTTTAAACTGGAAAAGTTTCAGACTCCAATTTCTGTTTTGACAGCTAATACTCTGTCTGCCACACAGTCATCTTCCAGTAGCACTGGGCAGAAAACTGACAGACTGCTCTCAAAATTGTCACTGAGATGACCAGAATAGACTGCTATAAAAATGGGAGATTCTTGAGATAAAAGTAACAACTCCAGTGTCCAGGAATGGTCAACTCCGTCATGCTAATCACAAATGAACAATAATAGTTTGTATCATCGAATAAATCGATCTATATACAAATTGAATACTCTTCTAGGTGTGAAACCTCACAAAAACATGCTTTTAGTATGTCTTCAATGTATTGTCAATCATACTTCAAATCATCAGAACACTAATTATTAGTAGAGGACCACAACACAGCACCAAACAGGAAAAAGTGAAGTACCTTCTCTAGGGAAGGGAACTTAAGAGTGTTTCTAAGGGCCAAAAGGGGAATTTGGTAAACCTCTGCTCTTCAAGTGCAGAAAAGAGGGGAAAAATGAAAACTTCATCTTTCTCTCTGGAAAATTTGACCTGTAATACAGGAAATTATTTCACTGGAAATGCACTCAATACACTACCATTACCTAAAAGATATCTCTTATTTAAAAGATGAACATGTTTGTAAGGGGTTACTGTAAATTTTAAGTTTTGACTTTGATGTCATTCTCTAAAATTAAATACACTTAGATAAATATACAATTCAGATTGAACTTTCCCCTTTCCAAATAAATTCATTTTTCTGTGGTACTGTCTTAATAGATACAAGAAATTGCACATGGAAAAGAAGGAGGTGATCGATGACATCCAACACAGGTTAACTATGGGCAAATCATGCACGACAAATTTGATGGCCTTCTACAATGGGGTGACAGTTCTGGTGGAGGAGGGAAGTCATCTACCTGGATTTGTGCAAAGCATTTGACACCGTCCTGCACAACATCCTTGTCTCTAAATTGCAGAGATGTGGATTTTACAGATGGACCACTTAGTGGGTAAGGAACTGGCTGTATGGTCTCACTCAAAGGATTGTTCAACCTGGAGAAGAGAAGGCTGCAGGGAGACCTTACAGCGGCCTCCCAGTACCTGAAGAGGGCTACAGAAAAGGTGAGGAGGGACTCTTGATCAGAGTGTAGGGTTTTAAACAGACAGAGGGTAGATTTAGATTAGAGATAAGAGAGAGATTCTTTCCTGTGAGGGTGGTGAGACAGTGGCAGAGGTTGCCCAGAGCAGCTGTGGCTGCCCCCTCCCTGGCAGTGTTCCAGGCCAGGCTGGACGGGGCTTTGAACAACCTGGGCTAGTGGAAGGTGTCCCTGCCCATGGCAGGGGGGTGGAACTGGATGGTCTTTAAGGTCCCTTCCAACCCAAACCATTCTACGATTCTATGAAATTGTTCAGACATCCCTATACTTTGCCATGATACTTCCTGTGAAACCAAAGGTAGACCTAATAATTTTCCCTATTAAGGCCAGACCAATACTTGCAGGTACAGGTGAGAGCCGTTTCACTTTATTTGTACCTGTTGATAGGCTTTGCCTACTTCTAGAACAAAATTACTATGTAATAGTGAAGGTAGTGTTTTCCAGGTGAGCAATGTGAAACATTCTGTAGGAATGCTAAAGATGAAAAAAAACCCTACCAAAGCTGAAGTTTTAGCTAAAGCAGCTCAAGATACACATTTTTCTTAACAGTTAGCTATTGCTAACCTTCTATATTACAAACCAAAAAAAAGCCAAACACCTAGGTGATTTCCATTAAGTGAGAAATCCAGTCCAAGTCTCTAAGAAGCTACTGTCTTGATCTTATGTATTTGCAGATTGCTGGGACTTGATGAGGCTGCTATAAATCCTCTCTAGTCTCTTCTTAGAACATTCACAACAGAAGAAGCAGATAATCATATTACTATATGCTGCTATGAAGATACCAGAGTCTGAACGGCATCATTTATCCCATGAGTACAAAAAACACAAAGGACACTTACAGAAGCTAAGCTACAGATGCCCCTGAAATTTGTTTCATATGTTTCTTTGCGTAGGTTGAGAAAAAGAAAAGTTACATTTTCTAAGTCTGCAGAAATTATTTTATCATTCAAACAGATATTTGAAGTTATCTTCTCAAATCACATAAGGACAGATTTCAGATTGCTATTTCCTATTTTCCCCTCAGAGAAGTAATCGTCTGCCTTGGAGACAGCTATGTGTATGAAGCACCTAACTTATACAAGAGTATTTAAAAACTCGCTAACCATATTTTACTGCAACTGCTCTTTTAACCATTAAATGCTGGTTACCACCTAGCCATAGTTTAATTTACACAAAATAGTACTTTTTTATGCACAAGTATCAAAAGATCTTGACTAATACAAGTTTTAAATATTTTTTAAAAGTCATTCCAAGATTGTTATCGCTAATTAATACAATCAAATAATTATTTAGGTGTACAGGGTCAAAACCACCCAAAGTTTTGCATACAGGTTACTAGACTGATGCTGAAACTGGTACAAACACTACTGAATACTTACTGTTGCAGCTGAGTGCAATTTCCATGTTTACCAGACTGCTAGAAACTAATGTATATATTGTAATTATTAATAAAACTTATATGGCCACTTATGTCAAAGTTTTGATTTCACTGTTCCTTTCTTTTTTAAGAAAAGGCAATTGAATGTATTCCATATTGACTTTCCAATGCATCAGGGATTCAGGACCAACATCTTAAACAAGAATGTGGATATTGATTTCATAGTACTACCAGTACCTCCGTGTCCTGTTTTCTTATTCTCTACTTTCTGAAAGAGTATAGAACACATATTAAAACAATTCTTCCTATATTATAAAATTACAAAAGTTATTACCAACTCTTTTCCAAAAGTTAGAAGAAAAGGTAGCTAAAAAGTAAATTTAAAAACCCACCTATGCCAGATGTATCCACATGAGAGCTCTCAGGAGACTCCTTAAAAGCACATGAAAGGAATTTTAAGACCTGGTAGCATAAACTGTTAGCTATTCTGTAGAATTTTCTGCTCTCACTATTTGCTCAACATTTTGGGGTGGTGGTGAAACAAACCCAGCTGCATTCCACAAACTATGTTCAAATAACACCATCTTTATTAACAAATATGTACAAATTTGTCTTGATTCACATCTTGCTACTCAGTGGGGAAAACTGTTTTCTTCCCAGCCCTTCTATACTTGGGCAAATAAGAGTCATCATGCAGTAAGAGCGAAAACCAGTTGATAGATGAACTCTAATCACCAAATCTTTATCAGTATGTGCTGGGGATTTTCTCTGTGTTCCAGTGTATAAGGAAAGCTTCTTAACTGCACTGTTTAAACAATTTTTATATATATTTAAAATAGTGGTTTTGCTCTATTTTGTAGAAGTCTTGATAGTTTCATCAAAAGCTCATTTTCAGGGATAAGGACCCTTTTCTAAATGTTTACAATCTACATCTGACATCACGGTCTTTAGAATTTCTTTTTAAAAAAATCTACATCTAGTCTAACTAGTTCAATCATAAAATTAGTGTATTGTGGGTTAAAAAGACATATAGAAAAAATAACTAGGAGTGATCAGTGAGATGGCCCATATTGCTCTTCAAATGCTGAATATTTTCTTCTTAAAAAGATAAGGAGTCAAAAGACATTAATCTAGACAACTATAAATTTTATAAATACTTTAAAAAAAGTTAGACACACATATTGCTCAACTAAGAAGTTACTTGATTGTTTAAGACCTATACCCAACTGCTCTTTCTCCTTTTAAATAAACTTAAGAGTAGAATTCAGCTGAAATCCATGGCTGATAACATGGCTGCTATTTGATACCTCAAATATCACAGTGGGAGTAAGGATATGTAATCATATGAAACATATGTAAACATAAACATACCACATGAACAACATGAATAGGGTGATAGTATTTTTTTTTTTTAAATGCATGAATCCACCATCACAAAATGTATGAGACTACCACATATACAAGTCCAGAACTTGAAATTTTCACCACCTCAAAGCACAGAACCTATTGGGGGAGTAAACAATCAGGGGAAGTACACTAGATGAGCAACACCAACCAGAAGCTGATGATTTTAATTTTACACAAACATGCACTTGGTAAGAGACATCTTTCTTAAAATAATGCAACATGAAGGGAATGACATGAAGGGAGATATAAAGCAATTGTTTAATAAGGTATCTAAAGTTTGACAAACCGCAGTGAAAGAACTGTAGAAAAATACTTTAAGTCCTCATTTTTTCCATAAGTCCTTATTTAAGGAGAATAAAGTGATTCAATTCAGCAATTAATAGATCTTTAAAATCTAGCTTTATAGCTATGGTACAGGACCACCTGTTCAAAATTAATTTCTTAGCTTTAACTCCATAAATATGTTTTGCAAAAAAGGCCTTATAACAGTAAATGCAGTGTGGTGCCCATACCTGACGTGCTGTTGACTGTCCATTTTCAAAATCACTGGTCTGTTGCTTTGACATTTCTTAGCATGTATGGAAGGAAAAAAAAATTCTATGTCAGTTTGAAGGTCACAGATCAATGTTGTACAATGTTGTTATTATACACTATTTTGAATATTTTATATTTAGAAAAATATTTTACGCATTTAACAAAGGGAGACTGAAACAAAGTATAGACAAGTGATGGAACAAGATTCTAGTCAAATGCAGAAGACTAATTCTGATCAGAGGTGTAGATCTAGCATATTACATGTTTTCTTCTTAACCCATAAAGCACCACAGAAAATAAAAAAAACAAGAAAAAAAAAAATCAGATGGTATCACTTGTAGAAAAGGAAGCCAACTGCAAACTTTTTGTGCATATCTCTTGACATATGTTGAAAAGGATAGGAAAGTTACTAACTACTCCTGAAGTCTGAGGGTAGAGCCCCAAACCTCTATTGCATCTTTTTAATGATTTCTGGCAAGGGAGCTTTCTAAAACTGCCAGACTCATCTCCCTTCACAAACAGACCCACCCACAATCTTTGTGGGTTGGTTGCCCCCTCCCCATTTATTTCATAAGAAGCAGAAGAAATATAAGGAGTATAAGAGCTGTCTAATGTAGCAGAGATCTCCTCTTTTTACATTTCAACCTATATTTTGTTCTTCATTAGCTATCACAAAACAAGATTTAAATAAAATCTAAAACATTAGACCCACAGAGAAGCAGCTACATTCAAATAAATGGGTCTTCCACATAAGCTTATTTCACAGTCTCTAAGATGGATATTGCTGCTACTAAAATTACACAGATTGAAATCTGTTTTGATATTACTGAAAAAGTTACATTTCTAACCATTGTCTTGTTAGATTTAAAAAAGGTATCTGTTAGAAGCTCCAACCTCTCATGTCTGCATACAGTGCATATGGTTATGACGTGCACATAAAAATTATTGCCTAAATCTATTGTTAATGTGCATAAATTACAGAAATTTAATCTTTCCCAAAAGAGAAGATCTACATCTCCAAACATATGACTCTGCTGGTACTAAAGTTGGAGTGGGGCTTCTCATGATTGGATGTATGTGATAGACTTTAATGATAAAAATAATACATATGTTTGGCAGATATGTTTACCACACTCAAGACTGTCATTAAACAAGTTTCTGTATTTGTTCTATTTGCTTTTTTCTGCATTTCTGTTTCTGGATAAATTGATGTCAAATATCAACAAGCAATTTAAGTTTTCTCACCATTTAATGAAAAAAAGTATCTCAAACCTAACTCAGGCACATAGGTATTATTTACTCCCATAAACACTTCATATTATTTAATAACGCCAAGCATACATCTAAAGGTTTCTTTTTCCAAGGGTTTAAAGCATAAGAAAAGGAACCTAACTAAAGATGTCATCTATTTCTGCTTTCATTTTAATGAAGGAACAACTATACCTAACTCACCTCTAGAAGTCTAACCCATTCTTAAGAGCAACTCCATAATCTCTAAGAAACATAGTTCAGGACTTCCTTATGTTTACATTTGGAAAGCTTTTCCAATATTTAACCTACAGGCTCTCTTTTGTTATCCCCACTCCCAATTTAAGTCCTATCATGAGGGGCTCTACTATTTCTTTTTCCTGACTCACTCCAGCTAGTCAAGCTACTGTCAAATACAAAACAAAGTACTCCACCAGAAGTTTTAGCACTGTTGAACAACGCAGAAAACCTGTTTCGTGTGCTTTACATACTAGGCACCTGTGCATATTTTCTAGCAGTGTGCACTGTTTTCCCAACAGAGTGATATTCTTGGTTGGCTCAACCAGCCTTCAATATTGCCTCTTCCTGCATTTAATTATTCCTACACAAATATATTACTTTGAACTGCTCTGCATGAAATTACACACAGTTTACTTTGAGTTTTAGCCCCAGGTTGTCAGACCATCTTTCACAACGGTCATCCCTACTCGGTATCATCTGTGAGTATCCCCCATTCCACTATTTACTTAAATAAAGTATAATATAGCAATTTCCTCAGGTCAAGTCCTGGAAAAAACCCCTTGTTTCCCTTCCGTCTGAACACAGACGACTGATAACTATTCTATAAAACTATTGATAACTACTCTATAAAGCCAGTCTCTCCTATAAAGTTAATGAAGCATATTATATAACCAGAAGGCGCTCACTGAAGCTTGTAGCCTTCTCAGGAAATTTATGTTCACTATTTTGCAAAAACACTACCGTAATTCTTCTTTTAGAATATATTAGCAATGCTTTTTTTTTTTAGAAAGCTGAATAAAGCGTTTTCCAAACATTTCTGGATTGGGAACACAGGAAATCAGAATGTGGTAATGTCCCATTGAAATCCCTTACTGAGCAAGACCTGTGAAACACCACAGAGGGTGTTTCATTTAAAAAAACATTCTCAAAAAAGAATTTTACATGGCTAATATATGACAGAAATACTGCTCCTCTTGGAGGTTGAAATTGAACATACTCTGTGCGCCCATACTCAAAACTGACATATATTTAAAAAACCCCAAACACTCAAATTTCATTTTACCCAGTAAAACTTAATAGGAATTTTGGACATTCTATCCAAATAGTAAAATAGATTCTAGCAAAACTCAGAATTGAGTTGGAAAAAATAACAAAACACCCCATATTCCAGGAGAAGGGGTTCATTAATAAGTATTTGGGTCTCAAAGATATTTTAAATGTTCACACTTAATAGAACATAACTTTATGTATCCTAACTGAAAACACATAAGAGGCCCACCAAAGAATATATAGTAAGAATAGGTAAAATATACACATTAGCTTTAATAATCCATAGCCAAAAGGTGGGGTTCTTTTAGTTGTTGTGGTGTTGGGGTTTTTTTAGGGGCTTTTTTTTTTTTTTTTAAGAGTAACACATCAGTTCAAATGCTTACTCCATGTACTCTTGTTTCAAATAAGAAAGTTAGTGCAAGATAAGATTTCTTAAATTGAACAAAATCCATGGGATTCTTTTATAGCTTATATAAATATATACCTATAAATACAAATCTGTAAAAGGTTTTTCTCTTAAATCAAAAAATGTTAACACTAGTGTTTTTTCCCCCACCTTTAACATTTAGTTAATATTTCTTACCTAGGATAACTTCTAACTCAAGACTTTGCTCAAGTTACATTAAAAGCTGGGAAAAAATATGTAAGATATCAATTTCTCTGCTTTCCTACCTTATTTGTAATGTAGTACACTAAATTTAAAATTAATTAGATCAATAGCATTCATAGCATTAAAGAAACTCCAAGTAAATTCCCAATAAGAACTTCTAAGGCATTCCAACCTTAGGTCAAAACACAAAGGTTAACAAAAAAATTACTTCTAAGAATTCAAGTACTGCATCTTTTAAAAACCTAACTGCTAGATGCTCTTTCTTTCCAAGTTCTACTGCAGATCATAGCCAGTTTTTTACACTTTTCAGACTCATCTGCATATATTTTCTAAAAATCAGAGGCAAAGCCTGGACCATCTGAATCTTTTTGTATCAGACCCTTATTTCCCATCTGAACATTTTAATTTCACAGGCCGATTCAAATTCTATACCCGAATCCTGTATGGACAAAATTTTTGGTAGCATGTAGAGACACACTAGGCTGTGTTTTATCCTCATGTGTTCAGCATAAAAGTTTCTCAGATGAAAGTAATAAAATAAGCACTAAAGAAATCACTTCAAAACCTTAAGAAAATAAGCCCAACATACCTTTGCTGTAATACACATCATAGTTTCCCCCAATCATTTATCCCAGTAGAAACATATATTTTATGGGAACATACATCTCTTTCAGAACAATGAGAAGATCTTCAGACGTCATATATTTTCCTAAGTAGTATCAGAATTACACTTGTGTGTGCAGTCTTGATTTGACTTCCATCATGGTACTTGATCTCTAATGAAACAACTATACAGTAATTTTTCCTGCAGGCAGCCTGAATCATTCAGTATACAGAATAATCTGCTAAATTTTTGATAGCTCATCATGCAACTTCACGAGATTCTTCTAACACATTTTTTTTATATACCTACTTATCTAGTTATTTTCAAGAAGCTAGCTAGCAATTTCCAAAATTCTCCACTTGTACACCCACATATGAACATAAGCATAGGTTGGGTTTGGGGTTTTTTTGAGTGGTTCCCCCCACATAAAGCAGTGAGTATCCTACAGAGTTTGGCATAAAAGCAAGATGCCTTCTATTAAGTCAACTCTTTGAATAAGATAATTCACAACAAATTTAAACACTTTACCTTCATTCCTTTGAATTCCTCTATTACGCTGCAGGTAGAAATAGAAAAAAAAAAAGTAAGAATCTTAGAATAGTGAAGTTATTTTAACAGATGCCTTTATTTCATTTGGTGTATTTCACAACTAGGCACTGCATAAATAACCATTCCGTTTCCTTCAGGTTTCCCATGGCCTGATCAGAAAAGCCATAAATACATGGTAAAACCTACCTGATCATTCACTCCTTGCCCTACTGTTGCTGCTGAAATCACTACAAGAACATAAAACTATAGCTACCTTGGCCCACATAAGAGGCTAAGACAGATAATTCCTCTTATAGCCCTTAATTTAGTCTGGAAAATTGTGCAGCAATGCTTAGTAGATGATGCACAAGGTAGATACAACCCCTTTTCTGTCTCCATTAAATCCACTCCTGCTCCCCAAGAGTGAAATTCAGTATTTCACTCCTCATCCCCTCACTCTTTGGGGTTAAGAACAGCTTTTGCATTAACTACCAAGGGACACTACACAACTTAGCTTTTTATACAGCTATTAGGAATGTAGCAGCAAGGTGACATCCAATAGTTATGTGAGAAACACTGAGATTTTTATGAAATTCACTGTTGAGTTCTGATGGGGGAGTTTAGGAAATAGAAGAGGAAGTGGCTGCTTGTTTAATGTTAATACTGACAATAAAAAAAATACAGATCATATGCCCACAACAGTAATGGCTTTAGCCTAAAACAGACAGGGAGTGCTGAGACCACAAAGATACTTTAATTACTCTAGCATTATTTTACACACACACAAAAAAAATCTAAAGATGAAACCAGAAAGCCCTTTGGAATGACAAAGCTGATTACCTGAACCAAGATAAATTGATTCAATGCATGTTAACTTCAATAATAATATTCTCATGGGATCCAAAAGTAGGTGTGCCCATCAGACAGCATTTACAAAAATGTTTTCCAGGTTTACCAGTGGTGCTATCCACCGGTAAAGAGAGTCATCTCTTTTAGTCTCTCTCATCTAACAGGCTTAACCAATCTATCCTAAAACCTTATTTTAAAGCTGATGTCGACTTCATTGATTAATATGTCTTGCAAATATTATATAGCACAGCACGATTAGAATGTATTCATATAGACATTATATACAGAAAAGAAATATTGCTACATTTTGACTGCATAGTAGGACTATGTTATTAGATACCTTAATTCCTTTCTTCTTTGATTTTTTACGCTTCTTGGTTGATACTTTCCCCCATTTTTTTTTCCCTAGAAATAGCAAGAGATATCAATATAAACATAGCTTTTCTTATAATACTATCTAAACCAAGTATCTTTCTAACAGACATAAATATTTAGGAAGAAAATACTCCATTGTAACAAAACATTATCAAATCTGAACAGCCTCCAGTACAATTACTGAAACAAACTTACAGAAAAACAAGAGACTATTGTAATTTCAAGTTAGTTGAGAAGTCAGGGCAAAATTTAAAAAAAACAACAAACCATATGCTGAGTCTAATGCTATTGAGCTAAAATCCAGAGCATTACAGCCCTAGATGCTATGAGGAGGGGAAAAAAAGCAAGTTATTTTATTTTAAATTTCACTTACTGCATGCAGACTACATGGTACCTGTGTTTAGTTAAAGCCATAATTAAGGCTTTACAGGACTAAGATCCACATTCATTCCATATTGAATATAAGTTACTAAACCAAAAGCATAGCCAAGCCTTTACAAATCCAAGACTGTGTATTACAGTGCTATATGCATGTTTCCTCCCTCTCTCTTGATGGACAATGCATATAAAACGCTATAAAATGCAAGCTACCCAGTCTGTAAAAGCCTTTGAAAAGGAAATCACATTTGGTGCAACAACTACATTGGGTTTGACACTGTGGTAGTACTTCATGTGTATGTCCAGTAAGTTCTACTTTACAAGACTTGACACGGCAATTTACATATCATAATCTTCAGTGATAATAAAAACGGGCAGAACATTTCATTTCCCAGTAAAGCCATCAAGCTACTAAGTCAGAAGTCCCACTAAACCCGTGAGCAATGTATTTTATAACAGGGTTTTTTCCACAATAAGCATTCCATAAGCATTATCAACTCTATAAGGGATCAACAGATGTAATAAAACACTAGAAAAATATGACATAGCACAATATGATATAGACTATTTACCCAGTCGACCCTGACATCTGACACAACAGAAATTCATCAGAGCAACCTTCAGAATACTACCAAGCATAGATGAAACTACACAATCCATTCATGCATATCAACTTCCTGCTAAAACCTCTATTCCTTTGTTTCAGCTCAGTTTTCTCCATTTTGATTCTTCTTACAAGTCATCCAAACATTAACCATTGTTATCCTGAAATTTGCTAGTAATTCTTGTGTTGTCCAAAATAGAGCATACAATGGACTAAAATATCACATATAAACAAACTCTCCAGGTATTATATGCACATACCAAAGTATAATAAATGTGATAATTCGTGTTATGAAATATATTGACCCTTAATACCAATGTATGTGTTATATACATCATAAAATATTTACATGTTAAAAAGAAAATTATTGTGATTTCATCTTTAAATCCGTTAGAGGCTTTGTAATCTCAGACTGCGTAATGTCAATGTTGGTGTTTTGACTATGTTGTTAGGGCACCTAGTAGAAAAGTACCAGACAGACCCTTGTATCACATAGACCCTTGTTTTGATGGAAAAGTACTAGACGGAGCCTCGCTTTGGCGGGAAGCGGAGTGGAAAAAACACCAGAGAACCCCACCCCTCAACAACACCAGAGAATCTGGGAAGATTCGAGAAACTGCACTACGCTTGCGCGGGCTAAACACACCCATCTTATGAATATGTATTAGAAAAGACTACAAAGGGGGTGGGTTTATTTACACGGTGTGCCTTGGTGGCAGAGCGGAGACTCCCCTGCGTATCCCGCATGGTTTTGCTTATTCTTATTTCAATAAAATGATAAGACTGTATTTGGCTTTTGGCTTCTAAATTTATAACAAAAGGCTACCTATGAAATGCCATACCTAGGTGGCCAAAATTCAATATCTGTTGCAATTAAATAATGTTACATAACTGCCAACAGTTGCATGCATTACTAAGTCTAAATATACAGCATGTAAAGTTTTAAGAAGTTCTTACCTTCAGGTGTATCGTAAGTGAGAGTCGCCATGGAAATAAGTACATCATCTTCAAAAGGATGATTATACTAAATAAAAAAGGACCATTAAAGATTAGAATAAATTATTAGAGCAACGTTTTTAACGTGCATTTTAAGTATTGTTTTTATACCATTTTCTTTTGACCAAAACGTGACAATAACTGCACATTGTTTATTGACTGAAGTTAGAAGTCAGCAACCTAGAAATATTAATTCCTAGAAGAAACACATTTTAAGCATGTACATAAGTCATTCAGTTTCAATGCATAAGCCAATCACTGACAAAATGAGCCTTCAGGGAGTTTTCAAAGTGGTTATATTACTCCATTACAGTTTATTCTAAAATTCCTCTGTAGTAACTGGAAGCAGCCACTTAGTATAGCTCATGACATATAAAAATACCTAATCTAATGCTAAAGGGAAAAAAAGTTCTAGAATCAGACTTAGCCTTATGCCAGCACCTAGGTATTAGCACAAAATATATCCCTAAACAGCAGAGCTGACCTCGCAGGATAAATACATGCATCTCTGGACAAAGGTGCATGGCTCCCACAGCTTTGACACAAAATGGCTCTAAAAAAAAGGAATATTTGTGGAGGGAATCTCCCACTTCTTTTTGTAGTTTCATTAAAAATACCTCATCTGATGCTATCTATTTGGGTTAAGGGCACTATAAAGACAACTTGCACTTAGAATTAAATCACTTATTTGATATTGGCAATCCCGGATGTAAGTTTTATGGATGTATTAAAGGAGCTGGCTCTTTACTAGTTTACTCACGCCAAGCCCCAGGAGTGCATGGCTCAGCACAAACTGCAAAACTGCCTGAGGCCCTGGGTGACAGCTGCTTTTGGCAGCCAGGAGAAATAGGAACTTGCGATACCACAGCTAATTAACTGATGAAAATAATTCAACGGCAGTTACTGCAAATGAATGCCCACCAAGAAAAGCGCACCCGTCAGCACCGAGACACCAGGCCTTTGAGGTGATGAGGAAAAAGAGGAGCGAAAGGCTCTGTCACTGCCTAAAGGTGAGGTGGGCAGGGGGCCGTGCTGCCTCCCAGAGGCGCTCAGAGGGTCGCCGAAGGGCGGCCACGCCACGCCACTTCGGCAGGGGAAGCCAGCCATAAACAGACCGCGTTCCTGAGACGGGTGGGAGGGCGGCAGCGGGCGTGGGCAACCCGGAGGCCCCGCAAGTGACCGGACTGCCCCACCCCGCCGCCCTCACCCCAGGAGGGCGAGGGGAGCCCCTGACAAAGGCCCCTGCCCAACGGCCGGGGCGGCGCGACCGCGGCCCTCACCCGCTCCACGATGCTGTTCAAAGAAGCAATGAAGCGGTTGTTGCTCTGCCGCAGCCGCTCCTCCAGGTCGAAGTCCATGGCGGGCCGGCTCCTTTCCTCTCCTTCCTCCTCCTCTTCCTCCATGGCGCCAGGGAACAGCGATCAGGCGGGCGCCCCGCACACCCAGGCTCAGGCCACTACTACTGCCCCGCGCCAATTCAAACAGCGTGCTAACGCCCACCGCATCCGCCCATTTCCCACCTTGATTGGATCTTGCTCACGTCAGTTCAGACGCTGCAGCCCATCCGCGCACGCGGTGGGACCTTTCTCATTCTGACTGGCTACTATGAGCTGCCGAGTTCCCACCCCCCCATCAACACGCCTCGAAGCCCTCCCATTGGGCACGGGGCTCGCAGCGGGTTGGGAGTTGGACGCTGTTCTACCTAGCAACGGGGGCCCACCGCGAGCTCCTATTGGCCGCGGGGTCAGCGACCACCGCAACGCGCTGAGCGACGCGCTGTGGGGGCCGATGGCTGCCGACGCCGTTGTGCTGCTTCCTGGCAGCCAGCTCCGGCAGCGAGTCGCGTCTGCTGCCCGCGTCCGCTGCCGCTTTCTGGCCGTGGGCAGCGTCGGGTGGAGCGCTCACAAGGGAGCTCTCTCGGCAGTAGCCGCTGCTGGAGTGAACTTGTAGTCCAGAGGCCCCGCGGGTGCCGGCATCGGGGAAGCTCTGCTTGCCCCACAGGGTGCTGCCCTGGCCTCGGCGAAAATCCAGCATTTAAAAAAACAGTATGAGCCACTTCATGTAAAATAGCCAGGGCTTTGGCCAGGGCTCCCTGGGGCCAGGGCTCCTTGGGGCCGCAGGCCCTGCCACCCTCCCGCCAGTGCGCAGTGCGGGCCGGGCAGCTCCAGGCAAAGCTGTGCTGGATATAACCCTTCTGCTGGACCTGGCAGAAGCAGTCAGAGGAATAGGGACTGGAAAATCTGATGCTAAATGGCTGCCCTGAGTCATGCCCTTTCTGGTCATTTTCTAACCGGTTTTAAGGGCTGCAGGCCTGAGGCCGCTGAGAGGGGGGGCTGGAAGTGGCACTGCCTAAAGTGTTACCTGCCCACCGGCACTGGTACTTTGGGTATCATCCCATTCCTCTGCAATATTCTTCAAGCAACTATTCCTTTTCTATAAATAAAGATTTTAAAAAATGAATGCTATCAGGACATCAAGTTCCCTGTGTAATAAAACCTATATGATATTTGTTATTCAAATCTCAAGTTATGTTAAATATATTATTCAGTAAAGTAAATATAAAAAGAAATTGTGTTAACATCAGATTGTATTGTAACTGAACTTTGTTGTGGTCAGACAGCGTTATGGTTCTAAATGTTTTTGCACTTTACATGTAACCTAAGGTTTAAAAAGAGATAAGACGTTACGTATATAATTTTTTATGGTTAAAATCAGTTGTTAAAAGGGAGTTAAAATGGCCGCCGTCCTCAGGCCAAACGGTGTTATGTCCAGCCCTGTCTGGCCCATGGATACATGCACACCCGCGGTGGAAAGCCGCGAACCTTCCCCGGCAACAAAAACCCCGCGCAACAAAAACCCCGCGAAAGAAAAACCCGCGAAGGAAAAGCCCGCGAAAAGTTGTTGACGACCTGCAAACCCCTCAGGGAGCACCCCCACCCTCATGAATATTCATGATGGCTGCGCTTTAAAAGGACTCCGTTTCGGGATGTAAGGTGTGTGTGTCTTGGTGGAGCAAAGCCTCCCCGGCACACCCAGCGCTGTTTTGCTCGCTTTCGCTTGCTAATAAATTTTACTGACCACTAAAACAAATTTGAAGGTGGTGATTTCATTTTAAATTACGATTAATCCATAAGGCCCTGGAACCTCACATTATAAAAACATAGGCCATTTTGCCAATAAAAAGACAGATGCATTTTTCATAATGGCTTACTGTCTAAAGCTGACATGTATTTATCCAGTTACTGTTTATTAGTTCAGTTGTAATAAATATTATATTTTTAAATAGAACTAAACAAAAAGACGTAGTTTCGTGCATTTTTAAGCATTCTTACTATTACATGGTTGTGAATTTTCCACAGCTGACAAGTTCTGCATTAAGGCCTCACCTTGTTTCTGGGAGGTCTTACCCTTTTTCTGGTCCTGCGTTAAGGCCTTACCCTTTTTCAAGGTATGATTTTTCTGCCACGGCTGCATGAACCCCTCTGCTCAGCAGTTAGATGTGTGTGGTGAGTAACTCAGTTACAAGAGTAGCAAAGTGTTGGGTTTTGGTTAGCAGGGAGAGAAAGGACAAATGCGGTAATTCAAAGCTGACAAACTAGATCCCACTCCTAGATTTGTGACTATCCCCCCACTGGGATGAATGCAGGACAAATAATCTAAAAACCAGAATCTCACTGATGATCCCCTAACTGCATATGCTTTATTTCCTTGATATCCACCTGGAAGTGTATTTGCAGAAGCTCCGAGCACTTTCTCTTGCTGTTCATGTTGATGGAAGCTATTCTTTGATTATATAAAAGCTTATATAAACTTCCTAAGATTAAAAAAAAAAAGTGTGAATACCCTGGACTAGTCAGATTCTTTGTATCTCAGACTGAATTGACAAAATTGGCGGGCACTCAGTACTTTGGGCCAAGTCCCTATAATCTTTCATTTTCCGTGGGTAAAAAAGGAATAATACTAGTACTTTTACTTCCCTGAATACTGGAAAAATAAATTCTGTGATACTTCCAACAGGGTCAAATACTGGAATAGGTCAGAATATTAGTAGGAAGTGTATTAGTAGACAAGCAACACTATATATGTTCAGGGTAAGCTTTAGTTCTTTCAACAAAGTGCTACTCTCATGGAAAAAAAATGCATCATAAAGTTACTGTCAGAAAAGAAGAGTCTTGTTTTTCACTCTAGAGTTTGGGGTCATCATTGCCTTCATTGTGGGGTTTTGTTATCCCCTTGCAGTGCTTTCATAATTAAAGATTGAAATACGATGCACACATAAAATGAGATTAATTACTTTCCTCTGACATTCCCTAGCTTAGGTGTCACTTACTTTACAACCTTAATGTCTTCTAATTTCTTGATATGTAATTTTATACTAGAAATAACAGAAGTAGCCCAAGGCCTATTATATATTTGAGGTAATCACTAACCTAGGAAAATAAGGGTATGTTGCTGTTATTTCAGTCCTACTGATAGAAGATCAGTCTTTCAGCCAATCTATCCAGTAGTAACTTTTGGCTGTTTTGAATTGATGTTACACTTCACTAGAGTGACAGGAGCACTCAATTGCAAAGAATTTCTTAATACCACCTCTGTGAGAAAATGAGAGTGGCATTCAGCCACTGTACATGAAAACTATCCTACAGCAGTAGTAACTGGTTCTAACCAAAAATTTCAAACTCCATGACCTTAGGAATTATAAAGTCAACAAATGTAAGCTAACGCTTTTGCCCGGAGGATGCATTTATGCAAACTGCAAAGCAAGGTAGTACATCAAACTGTAAGCAAAAGGAAACAAGGAAAAACCATAATGTTAAAACCTTTGTGTTAAGGTCCCAATAAGAAACAGCAGCTGTCATTTGTTTTGTGTGACCAGAGAATGGCCTGTCTTTTCTTAGTGCTCCTCTGTACTTATTTTTGTGTCTGCTGCTTGCTGTCCCTTCCTCAATTATTGAGACTGTATATTAACAGGGACTACCCATTTGTCTTGTGTTTATGCAGCACCTAGTGTAACAAAGTCCTTGTCTTAGATTCTACTCCAGTAAAGATTAAATACTCCAATAATTATTAAATCATTAAAATTATTTCTGAAGTCACTAGTAAAATGAGTAGTGGAGGTGTGGTTCACAGTCCTCATTTGAGTGGGTGTGGCTGGGTTGTAAAGGTGTAATTGTGCTGTATGCCATGAGGAAGCATGGTGCTCTTCTATGATGCACTCCAACACCTTAATGACTTTCTTGTAGTGAGGGGCCCAAAACTGAACACAGTCTTGGACATGTGGCCTCACCAGTGCCGAGGACAGGGGTAAGATCCCTTCCCTGTCCCTGCTGGCCACGCTATTTCTGACACAGGCCAGGATGCCATTGGCCTTCTTGGCCACCTGGGCACACTGCTGGCTCATGTTCAGCTGGCTGTTGACCAACACTCCTAGGTCCTTTTCTGCTGGGCAGTTTTCCAGCCATTCTTCCCCAAGTCTGTAGCATTGCCTGGCATTGTTAATAATGAATATTGCACCATTTTTTGTTATAAAAGAGAATACTGTTAATTAATATGCTGCAGAAACAGATAGTTCAAGAAGAAAACTTCTTTGGTGCCTGTACAGTGCTTGAAGCTCGTCTTCTGTTTTGTCCAAGCTCCACATCTTCTGCAATTTTATTGAGTGGGTTTATGCAGAAATGTTTGACAGAAGATTTAACGTCAACTTCTCTTTGATTAGTTTGGCTTACAGAAGAACAATTTGTGGAACTGAGTTGTGTGTGCCATTTACCCTGTGGTACTCTGCCATATGTAATTGTTTTATTCAGGTCTTTATTCATATTTGGAGAGAGCTGTGTCCTCTCCAGCTCATCGGTTAACCCAGCCTCAAGCTGTATTTTATCCCTTTAATCTTTTTATCGCTTGCTTATAAATCAAAATGTCTGCACTAAGTGATCATTTTTACTATTCTGCTCTGAACTCTCTCCAGTCAGTCAATATCTTTGAGTATGTAGGCATCTGGAATAGTAAATAATTTTCTGAAAGCAGCCTCTGAAGAACCATAAAAAAAGCGATTTACACATCTATTCTTTGTAAATGTTGATCTTCAGATACAGCCAAAACATCACATTGACTATTGAAATGACAAACTCATCTCTCTTCAATATATTTCTTCCAGATTGCATGCTGCTCTCACTCTTTGTACAAGGGAGTATGAAAGCATAAAATAACTGCTCTTTTCCAGAAACCCTTGCACGGCTTAGCTTGTGTCAAGTCAGTGAATATAACTGTAGATTCAGAGGCTGTGAAAAACCACTGAGAAGTGTGGAGGGGGGAGTAGCTGTAGGCATGCCAAAGAGCTGGCTGCCTGTGGAAAAGGCAGTGTGAG